TGGAGGAAAAAGCACTTGGATTTAACTAATGTTTCTCTCTCTTCTCTTGTAGAAGGGACATCTTTCACATCTGCCGCAGAAAACGAAGCAAAAATGGAAACCATGCATGAGCTGATCCCCTTTGCCAGAGAAATGCTCAGCCAGAAGCCCAACAGGAAAATGGTCAAGCTGTACATGCTGGGCAGCGCACTGGCTTTCTTCGGGGTGGTCATCGGTCTGGTGGAGACGGTTTGCAGCCCTTTCATCTCTGATGGGAGGCTAGAGGAGGAGGAGGAGGAGGAGAAGAAGAAGAAACCTGCCCCGATGCAAGAACAAATGCTTGCCCAGAAACAGGAGGATTTGATCTTGGAAAAGAGCAAGAAGCCGGTGGCGGTACAGAGGGCCCAGGCGACCAGACAGCCCGGCCTCTAAAAGCCCCACAGCTGGAGAGGTGCCCGCCAAGCAACCAAGCGCAAGAGACTCTGCTGTCCTCTCGTACCCGGTGGTGGTTCCAGCAAGAAGAGAGAAGCGTTGGCTGAAGGAGGAGACCGCAAGTGTAGGACTTGAAAGAAGCGAAGGGTTATATTTGCTGCTGTGCAGCAGTGGGGAAAAAATACCTTTTGTTGGTATAAAAATGTGCAAGATGCACAGCATGGTTTCTTATTTTTATTACAGACGCGTTTTACAACATTTTGCAAAATCAATAAATATTTTATATGGTACCAATGCGCTCTAGCTGTGTGTATTTGCAAAGCCTTCTCACATTGATTTTGTGAAGAGGTTTTGCCCGCACCCCTGGCTCCTCTCGGGGGGCAGCTGGGGGCACCCAGGGAACAGCTGAGGGTGGTGGCTGCATCCTCCTTTTTTTCAGCGAGGCTGCTCAGGGAGCAAGGGGGTGGCATTTCCATCCCTCCTGCAGCTGGGTCCCTGCCAGAATGGGCCGATTGGGGTGGGGAGAGGAGGTGGAATTTGTCTCTCAGGTGACAGGCACGTGCCTGGAGTTGCAGGTTAGGTTCTATTTCATGGCGTTATCTGGATTTAATGGTACAGATTCAGGACTTGGCCACGCATGCGCCGAACTGTTAAAAAAAACAACCCACCACCCTGTCCATTCTTTAGCAATCCTCTAACGGGCTATGCCTGCTGCACAGCTAAAAAATATCTTCTGCCCTTCCTGGGATCCTTCACAAACCCACCACACACTAGTATTAGCTTCCAGTATTCTAGAGATGTCACAGATGGAAAAACTGAAGCATGGAGAGACACAATGGCACAGCCAGCCTGGAGGGTGTGGAAACAGGGACCCAAGCTTCAGGGCTGTCCCCAGGGCACTGCCAAACTCATTAGAGGACTTTCACCTATTTACAAATCTTTCCCGGGCTTCATAAGAAGCTGTTGCCTTCAGGACTATGTCACATCAGTCAAATCAACCCTGCAGACAGCCACAGCTGAAAGAACAGAGGGGAGGGAAATAGTCTCTGCCCGTCATGACTGGGGCAGAAAATCCCTTTTTATCTGCTCAGTGGCAGAGCCACGGCCAGAGATAGGAGGAGGCGACACACCGTGCACAGGAACTGGGAGATGTACCAGAGATACGCCACTATCTAGCTAAGAGCAAAACAATTGATACAAACAGCAGGAGATTAAGAAAAATGAAAAAGCACTGGCTGACTCCAGTGCCGAACATACAGCTCCTCCCAGAGCTGGGTAAAACAAGAAAATATAAGAGCGCAGCTGAAGTTCGCCCTTACATTTTCATAATACGGAACCGTGCAATTCATCTTGTTGACAATTATATTTGTCAAAAAAACCCAAACCAGCAGCACATTGCGGAGGAGGAATCCTATTGAGTCTGCTCAAAAACTGTTCCAGCTTTGAATTAAATATAAAGTACTTTTTCCTCATGAGGAAAAGAGCAGAGTCCAATTAAATTAAAAACAGCATTTGAGAAATACTTTGTTTAGTCCGTAACACAAGCTTTTGGTCTCTGACAAGGCTGAACAACCCAGTGCCTCACTGGTATCAATGGAAATTTCATGAGCAAACACAAAAGGAGAATTCAGGCCTGAAGAAAGCCATCAGCTGACGCATGTCTGTCATCCCCCCCAGTTCCAGCTCTAAGCAGGTTACACATTTGCAGCCCAGCCTCAGGGACGGAGAGGGCTGACCTGAAATTCCCTGTGGCACACTTGGTGCATGGATAAACCAGAGACCTGAATGTCCATGGCTGTGTCCGACATGAAAAGATTGCCAGGTCGAGCTCTCACACTTCGCTGTCATTCAGATGCGCCGTGGCAGAGCTCAGCAGCTGATAAATGGATTAAGCCGAGATGAGAATCACCTCTTTGTCCAAGGCAGCTGCAAACTGTCATTCACATACCGGTTCCCAAGATTAGCCCTTCTCTACCAGTTGTAGGTGTCTCACCCTGCCCTATAGGAAAGGTGAAATTTTAAAAATGAGGAGACAGAGCTGGCCTCAAGCAGCCCAGCTTGCAAGTCCTGGGGTGACTGGGGAGCTCCAGGTGACCCCATCCAGGATGATTTCCACCACTTCTGGGTTTGGACCTCAGGTTGTCTTCACACCATGTACATATCTCCTCATATCATGCCAGTGCCCTGCTCCCCACACCTCCTCTCCATGGTTATCCAGTCACAGAGTTTATGAGCTTAAAGCAAAGAGGTTTATGGAACAATCAAAATAGTTCTCCTAAGACTGCTAACGGGATTAGACAGCTCAACCATGTGCTGCGCCGGTGGTTCTGGAGCCAACCTAGTAAAATCATGTCCTGCAGAAGACAATCTCCTGCCTCCTGATGCACTGCAAGCTCGGAGGTCATAACCTCCCACGTATTACCCCAACAGGTCAGCCTGAGGGGGCAGCCGAGGCATCACCATTCCCACAAGGCATCACATTGACATTAGAAGGACCAGCTCTCTGCCGAGTGCTGAATTAGACACGTACTAATAGCTGGTTTTACCACAAGGACTATATAAAGTCTTATTTAAACCACACAACGATAAATTCAGTGTGCATGGAGGCTCAGTAATCCATTTAACATCACTTTAACTATGATGAATGACAGACTTGCCAGATGCAGTAGATTAAAAGGCTTCGGCAAACTTCCCTGCCTTTAAAGCACGGCACAACTCTCCAAACCAGCCTCTTTCCCCAGCGCCATCTCCTGAGGCCCCTCACGTCCGCATGTCATCACCAGGCAAGCTGCAGAACTGCAGTTTGGCCAATGCAGCTGCCACAAACACAGCCCCATGCAGACGGCAAACAGCACCCGCTGGCAACAGAGCACGGCGGGGTCATCCCCACAGCCCGCGTGGGAATCGCCACGAGAAACTTTATTTGTAAATACGATTTTTTGTATTTATATTTTGATACACCCAGGGAGCAACCAGATGGAGCAAGAGGTACAGTCACTACTAGGAAGGACCCCTCAGGCAACCTATGGTGCAGAAGCATTTAAGAGTGAGTTAAACCAACGTCCTGAGGGACACACTCTTGAGGAGGTCACACGACGCCGGAGGTGCGGGTTAGATTGCTGAGCATTGCACAAGGCTGATTTCCATCTCTCTTTCAAGACTTGTCTGAACCCAGTTTAATTCAACCTGTAACCACGACATTTTCCCGGTGCATTAAATCCTCAGGAAAATCACAGCTGGCACGAGATCTGGGGAGTATTTGTCAGTACCCATCCTGCAACGCCTCTTCAGAGATCTTATTTCAGCTTGGAGCTGTTGTCCGGGCTTTCATCATACGGAGTTGAAGGCCACCTAAAACCCAGCAGCCCTCCCTCACGGGCCAATTGCTTTAAGGGCATGAACTGAATGTCTTTAGGGTCCTCACTTGCTATTTGCAGTTTGGAATCTGGATGTTTCAAGAGCTGCCAGGCTAAAATTAGGGCCCCAGATAAGCATATCAGCCTCTGCCACCCAACACCAAGGGCATCAGGAACATGGATGGTGGCCAAGACTTAAAGCAGCCACAGTACCAACCATCAAATATTCAGGCAGCAACTCCCGATTTGGTCACACAAGAAAAAAAAAAAATAGTGCTTAGACATAGCTTAAACATCACAGTATTTTCTCCAAACCAGCAGCGAGTAGAAATCTCAGGTCAAACCAAACCCAGTCCTACAACCATCTCAAATCTCCCTTAGAACCCAAGGCGGAATTTCTCGGAGCGGAGCGGCTGTGACGGTGTTTGCAGGGTGTAGGAGCCACGGGGAGATGGTGTGTGTAGCTGTGCCCAAACCCCGACACGTCTGTCACAGCCCCACAGCATCACGTTGGCACGCACAGCGGTCTAACGCGAGAATAACTGAGGGCAGCCCTTTCTGATGGTGATATCCCTAAGCTGTAAAGAAAGGAATTAGACCTGCATTCACGGCAAAGTATGTTGGGAGAGCTGGGATGGGCAATAGTGCTTTAATGAGATAAAGGAAAGGGGGGAAAAAAAAGAAAAGCCTCTGCATTTAACAGAGATATGATAACGGATTGGAAAAAGCAAATATAACACAAAAAAAAAGAAAAGAAAATAAATTTTAAAAAGGAGCATTATCCCAATTCCTGCCAAGTGCTTTTGAGTCCCGGAGCTGCATGCACGAACCTGCCCAAGCCGCAGCCCCCGTGGGCAGGCAGGGGCTCTCCGGCAGCTCCCCTCAGCCGCTTTGTTGTGAGGACAAATTTCCTTCACATCTTTGTTTCCTCCCAAGCAAAGGAGCAAAGAGCACCGTGCCTTTCCGACAGGGCTGCAGAGGGGGCACAAAGGTTGACAGTTATTGCCCCACTGCAGTATCCTGATGCGGGTAATAAACAGCGATATCTGAAATGAGCCTCCCTTCCTGCCGGCAACCCAAACACGATCACAGCCGAGGTAAGGTTAATTAGTGCTTTTTCTGAGGCCAAGGAATAAAATGGTTGCCCCATGATCATGACCCAAATTCGAAGAAAAGGGAAGCAGGAAAAGGCAGAGTGATGGTGCTGGTGTTATCTGACCAAGTGTGGGCTGAGTGCTTCTTATCAGAGGAAAAGTTGAGGCTAAAGCAGAAAGGTACAAAAGAGAAAAATAACCTATAAAGCAGAAAAAATGCCAGAGTGCTCCACTGCCCTACTAGGTATGCCACTAAATTAAATCACCTTTACTTGAAAGCTACAATAGGTGAGGAAAAAAGTTTTCTTTAAATAATTCTTTCCAGCTGGTTAGGGTAGAGGTAGCCGAGAGGGACAAGCCGGGCATCGTGCCCATGCAAATCAGGCCACGGTGCTGCCTCAGTGCTGCGGATGAGGCTCTTGTCCCAGCAAACGTGGCTTTCCCCCACCCTGAGAAGGCAGAGGAGAAGGCAGAGGCTCCAGCAGGGCAGCTCCAGGAGCGGACGAAGCTCCCGCAGCCCGTCCCTGTGCCACGTGCCGCAGCGGGTACC